TTATTTTCAGGGTGCATGCCTTTGCTGTGTGTGACACTGCGGAATATTTTCACTCTCATATCAATCAGACGCTCACCAGTATTGGTTTAGGTGACACGGTGAGGTCACATGACATCATCAACATCCATGAGGGAGCAAAAGGACTAGGATACGGCATTTCAAAACCAGAGGAATTGGGTAAGAAAACAAATGTGACAAAAAAAAAATGAGTTATAGTTGTATTTATAAAACTTCTTGTCTAGATAGTTCTGAATCTGAGTAGATACTGACAAAGGACCCCACTGGGGTATATACTATAAATATGAGAGTAAAAACAGAGAATAAATACAAAATACAGTAGAGGACACCACCCCCTCCTATTAAAGGGAAACTTTTTTTGGTACTGAAGCTGTCACAGGAAATGTGATAGTGTGTAGACAGTTCTTTTTCTGATTTAAAATATTTTTATTTTTTTAAAGAATTCATTAAAACAGTAGCCCAGCAGACTAGTATTTTGCTTGACCACACATACACTGGTAAATCAGCACTAGCACTGACCAACGAGCTCAGGAAACACAGGTCAAAGTTCAAAGGAAGCCGAATACTCTTTCTACATTCAGGTATGTATCCATGTTTGTGATTATTGAGGAAGGGCTGTGAAATTTGAGAATCCCTCCACCCTTTCATCTTGCTAAGGTTGCCATTATTAAACAATCCTTATTAACATGCACTGTGTAACATGGTAAAAAGAAAGGTAGTTGTGCATGTGTGTAGAATAAAATTTAGTGATTATTGGCAGTTTGTATTTTTGTATGCAGGGAAACAGATGAACACATTCTGATGTTCTTTTTTTTTATGCATCAGGTGGAATATTTAGCATGTTTGATGGGCGGCTAGGAGATGTTCTGATGCAGTCAGCTGGAGAAACATTGATACAGAACTGGATGAACGCTGAAGATGAACCAACTATTGTATGATGATACATTAATCATACAATAGTTGTTTGATGATACATTAATCATACAATAGTTGTTTGATGATACATTCATGAGGGCAGCCTTCATTATTATTATTACCATTAACCATTCTGTATTCAGAGCAAGTGATCATCATTGACATAGACATATTTTAACAAAAATTTGAATTATTATTTTAAACTTAGAATTAAAGAAAGCCAAATAGAATATGGAAATGATGCTCATATCAATGCATAGAAGATGAATTTTATTTGACTTTAGTATGTTTACATTTTGACATTAGGAAAAACTTAATTCCATCTTTCTTATATACATATACTGTATAAACCCAAAAATGTTTAAGTTCTATCAAATAATGTCATCAATTGATTATAATGTTTCATATGATGTATCAAAATACTGTATCTTCACTTAGCTTATTATAAGAAGATGTGATTTGTTTTCTTCTGTT